CATCTGAAGTATTGAGAAGTCTGGCACAAACCAAATGCAGTAAGCCCTTTGCCAATGTAAGAATATTCAGCTTCTCTTGCCTAACCCAAGTTTTTCTCAAATGGAAATGAATTTTGCATGCAGTGGGATCTTCGTCTATTTCTCACAAATTATAGCTTAGAGTCATATGCAATCTTTTCTGAAGATGTCAGGCTGCTACAATCCTATTTCCTTTGTGGTTCTATACAGATGTCATCAGATGAGCAAACTATAATACCTCATTCTAGATCTTCTTGTGTACCAATGGATATTTCTAAAGGCAAAAACCTTGAATCACATCAATGCTTGGAGAAAAGAGTGATTTTATTCACAGAATGGTGGGCATTACAGCTTGAAAAGTCATTTTAAAACATTTACTTTTTCCCAAAGCAGGCTTGTTCTTCATGGTATTTTTTTAAAGTGTTTATTGAGAAGAATCAAATACAAATCAGCTCCAGAAATGAGGAACCATATGCACTGCAAAATCATCAATTTTTCAGTGGTCACACATCATTTATAAACTTGATTTAAGCCCCATGGGACGTCAATAAACATATGAAACTATCAAAACTGCCCAGTTTTAGCCAGAAGCTAGCTGCAGATTCTGTTGTAATGATCAGACGAGGGTAAGAGTGGTGACGAATTCTTTTCAATAGAAACATCCCTGAAAGTTAATGCTCACACCAGCTGTTTGGATAGGAAGCTTAATGACTTAAAATAAGCCTGTGAGTAATCCATACCTCCTTCTTACCGTTTGAATGGGACTGAAATTCTGAGGGAAAATGGCAATTTTAAATAAAAGTTTTGATTATTTCTGATTAAAAGACTGAGACTCCATAATGCAAACCTTTCCACAACAGGCCTACACAATGCTGATCCTCAGCACACCTTGCTGCCACTCATTTCCATGAGATCAAATCCCAATTCTGATCACAATATACCCTAAAATCTTTTTTCTTTTAAATGTCACATTACATGTATCACTCACTGACTGCTTGTTGCAGAAGATGATTCCTACAATCAGCCCAAATGAGAATGGCAGTATCTTGTAAAATCCTGGAATCACTGGAAATTAAATGGCGTGTCATTCATCGTTATGGTTTTTTAAAAGTTCAAGAACTGAAAAAATTAATACTTAAGTATTCTATGAGTTACATCAATTACATATAAGAAGTCCACATAGAGCTTAAAGTCAGATATAAGGATAAAAAATGTAGGCAGCATGCAACATAAAACTTTGTGTCACAATATTTATCTCATCTATCTTTTAATGTATTTAAGAATTATAATTAATTTAACAATTCACTGTTAACTCACAGCACACACTCTATCTATATCCTCCAGTTCTTCAGTGGGAATATGGTAAGAAAAAACAACAGTGTTTAAATAAATCTGAGCTCATACCTCTTGTGTTTGGCTGCCTGATGCCTGTATAACTGGCAAGGTCCTGAACTTCTGTTGAACAGGCTGATCAAAGGAAAGTGTACAGCATGTCACTGTCTGCTCCACCTCTCCTGGAAGAATGAATGACCCTGCTGAATACAAAATATTCAACTTTATCTTTTCATGCAATTTATAAATTAGCAAAATTATGTCTAAAATCCTGCAATATTCAGATGCAGAAGCTTGTTAATCAAAAGGTGTTGTACTCTCATTGTTGTCTAATATATAACACATATTGTGGTTTAATATATAATACAGGTAGTTCTCTTTAAAACAGATGCAGTCCTGGGCCAAAATCTAGATAAAAGAGGAAAGGAAAAAAACTAATTTGATCAAAAATTGATAGCTGACTCTTCCTTCTTGAGAATGCTTAACCCTGATCTAGAAATTCGTAAACTCAGAGAAAATGTAGGATTAGATTAATCTCTTAACAAGGAAGGAAAGCCCTGATCTGTAGTAGGAGATACAAAATGCCCAACTGACCCCTCATCTTGCCCTTGATTGGCGAATCAATCTGTTCTAATTCTCTTTTGCTACAGTTTCAATGTCTGTACATTGGGTATAAAGAATCTCTAGAAAGCTTTTTCTACATTCCCCTAAAATGTTACCTAAAAGTATATAGTGCCTGTTTTTTAAGGATCATAGAATCATAGAACCCTTAAAGTTGGAAGGGACCTTTAGAGATCATCTAGTCCAACCTTCCTGCACACGCACTCTCCTAAAGCACGTGGCACAGGACTGTGTCCAAGCAGACCTTGAAATCTTAGATTCTCAAACTTCCCCCTCACCCTCAGCCTACCCACCAAAAGCCTAACTTCACATGCCAACAAAAAACTGGTCTTATTCAGAACTGCCCAAATCCAAATTAGAGTCAGCAGCTACATGGTTATCTCATACCTAAACATGAGATCTATCAAGGATATTTCATTGATGTTTGTTCCTTTCACAGCTTTCTAAAAAAGCAGACTTCCTTATATCTGAGATGTGGGGATTTGTGTGCCTTTCCATGCTAGTAGGATTTGGTCCACAAATCACAAATTTGGTCACAAATTCCTCCAATCACTTTCCTTTTGCACGCTTCTTAAGCAAAATGGTCATACTGGGAATAGTGGTTTGCTTTCTGTGGCAGTACCATAGGACATACCTTAGGTTTTGAAATGTCTTTTCACATGAATCAATTTCAGATCTGCTATAGCACAAATGTGTCCAACTTGTCTTAGTAACGTTTTTATGAAGAAATTTAGGGAGACCATATGTCTCAAAATATAGGTGGAGGATTATGTAAATCTACCTGCTATCTTTTATGGCTGATGTACAAGCTTCTATACAGCTTTATACTAGATTTTAGTAGCTTGATTCTCTCTTGAAATCTCAGAATAAACTTTCAAAGTGTTGCCTAAATGTGAATAAATGGAAATAACAAGACTGGACATAGATACAGTATAAGAAGGAAGAAGTGACCATGTGTCTCTACTTTCACACCTTCACAACAATAGCTGAGTTATAGACCTGTCATCTTCCCATAAATCTGAATTTGAAAAAAAAAATCTAGCTAGGTCTTTCTGAAAAATCCATGATCAAATTCCTCATTTAATTTTTATTCTGGTATTTGTATATAATTTCAAAGCCAGGAGGACTAACCACTTTTGATTTCTAATGTGGAATATTCTTTATTAAAGAAATGCAGTTCTTGCTCTTGGGATCTCATTCCCAAATTTTCATCTTTTGATTCATGATTCCCATGTAAGTTGTTTTCTGCTTTTGGCCCTATTCTCTTGGTTACTTATGTCTATATCTAGCCATTTATGCACTTTCAGTACTTACTCTGTTTCAGTTATTTAAGAAAGTTTTCTGAAAAACAGAAAGTTTTGGAGTCCAGTCCATAGGTGCATATTACATCCTTATATTCTCTGCAACTGCTGTTTTCATTCTTCATGACTGGAGTGAAAACTATTTGGACAGGACACAGGGAAGATGTGAATGTTCCTCCAAAGGCAGTGGGATTTTCCACTATTGTTTCAATGGACATCAAGGAGTATCACCTTCTGATACAAATACTCATTATTTCTGTAGTAGGAGCTAATTCCCTTCTCCCTAACCCAACAGACCAATGTGTGGAGAGAAGATGTGCAGGAAGCACTGTTATGTAACAGCCTTGGCAATGGCTCAAAAGAAAACTCTTAAAATTAGGGCAAGAGAAGGAAATTTATTTTTGCTTTTAGCAAGAAGTCCTTGTCATACTCAGAATGTCAGTTCCAATTTTGTAAGGCTTGTTAGTAATGCAAACAATGTTTCAAATTTCCTTCAATCACTTCATGAGAATGTGGTAATCAACCTTTGTTTGCCAGTAGACATGCCAGAAAGGAGCTTCGTCTCTCTATTCTGGCTGTGTGACAGCATATGAAAGTCTAATCGGTAAATGCTGCTTTCCCTGATAATGTTTAATCAAGAAACTCCTTCAGAGAGAAAAATTAGGGAGCTTTGACAGTCGTCCTTCTCAGCAGGAGCTCCCAAAGGAACTGTAGGCTATTGTAGGTTTTAGCCAGTATACCTCACAGCTGGTTCAGGCCAGTGCTACAGCACTAGTGGATGATGATCCTAATTAAGCTGCTAATTATGTTCTCTGTGGAGGTGATTAATTAGCAACAGGAAGGCCTTGGATACTGCCAATGGCACCATATATAGAGATAATTGAGGAGGCAGGGATATCAAAACAGAGAGAAGAGGTTTGGAATATGCCTCTGTCCTAACTGGAGAGAATTGGCTCCCTGGCTGAGGTGGCAGGGATGTCCTGGGACCTTGGCCAGGCTCAGCACAGGGCAGCAGGGCAGGTTTGGTAACTGAGCGGTTCTCTTACCCTTAGTCCCTTCCCTCCCTTGATGGATCTCCAGCAAGCAAGTACCACATCTGTGAGAGCCACTGCATTGGTTTCTTTGCTCGTTTCATACCACTGAAGTATTAATTAAAATCATGGGGCAGGAGGGAAGAGATGATGTTGGACAAATCTGATTTGAACTCACAGGAGTGAAAAAGTTTGAAGTCTTTTCTATGTCTTTATCTTTACTGTACCCAAATGATGCCTACTTATAGACAGACCAGATCAGGTTTTACCACTTTCAGATGCTACATTTGACAAAATTAGTGTTGATGGAAGCTGAGGAGAGGGGAGTGCTAAAAGCAAAAGCTCAAAAGCTAAGTTTTGTTGTCTCCTCTGATTCTCCGGCCTCAGGCTGCTAGCCCCAAAGAGCTGCCTTGTGTGAAATCATCTCAAAGCAGTGTTAAA